GTGAAAAATCGCATCTGTCAAAAGCTTCTAGCTCTTCTCTGGTTCGAATCGGTGACTTATTGATTCATGGTTTGAATTTAGACCATGCTGTCCCTGATTATTGACTTTCAGTAAATGATACTAATTTAATAGACAATTAATATTTTAAAGTAACAAACTCGCGCAAAGCTACGTAAAATCAACCCAAATTCAAATTTTAATTAAATCCACCTCAGTTACATCTGAACCCAACAATATTTTTGCCGTTAAATAGTGGCAAAAAATCTTACCCTTAAATTTCCTAACTATTGTGCTCAAACAATTATTTTTCGATATGCCAAATCAGAACCACGTTATGTGTGGAAACTCTGTATGAACGTAGGTTCTGACATATTCGTCGCGATATATTATATAGTGTAAACAACAGGTACAGGCCAGCTATAAACTAAGAGGGAACAGAGAGTGCGATAAACGTGTGTGAGAAGTAGGCAGGTGTGCCAACTTATAACGCTACGAAAGCCTCAAGACAAAGGTTACAGCACGGGTGAGTGAAATAAAACAATAATCCTCTTACCCAATATTGTTACAGTCCAAGTACAGTATCGGGTAATCGGCGAGGTAATATAAGCAAAACAAGGTTAAGTTGCCGCAAGAACGAGCTAAACTAAAAAGCTTAGCTGTTCCTTTGTCGAGAGATTATACGAAATTCCCTCGCCCCGCCCAACACCGATGCTCCAACAAGGCGCAGAATCTTAGCGCAAATCCAGCGGAAAATCGCATTAAGAAGGCTTTAGTTCTTGTTCGTGCCCCTCGAATCTGTTAATCGTCACTCATATATTATTAGGTAAGTAGTTTGTTTCGAATTTATAAAACTTTCTGGGGCGCTGCGCGAGAGCGGGGGTGGGAAGAAATCCTTGTTGAATAAAGCTCTTGTCTCGCGTTTAAGACGATTTTGGCCTTAGTGAACTCGCTAATACCTTCCCGACCCTGTATTTCTAAATGAGATTTATCCTTCACACTTCATTGTTTCGTTCGGATGAAATAACGGCACAGTTTAGCGTCTTTTGTGATCCGACTTGGCAAAACATCGGTCTTCGGCTCAAACTTGGAGATCAACTTTGAAACTTGCAGGTTTGACGAGGGATGTTAAACTCTATAGTCAAAAGCGAATATTGTCAAAGTCGTTCAATGTTATGATGTTCTTCCAATGCGAATATATTGATTGTGTTAAACTGTGACAGTGGGATGCTAATCAATTATCAATTATTATTATGATCTAAAAACAAGCGCATGTACGAGAAACATTTTTTTCAGTCCGAAAATTTGTGATTTTTTTTTTAATATAGGGTTTGGCCACGAGAAATCGATTGGGGTTAAGCACAAGGTTATATAGACATTGAAAGTGCCCATGTTATCGTCAATACCTTTTTGTAGTCAACAAAAAACTGATTATTTTTAATGTCATTATTTTGATTTACGTGTAAACAAAAATAACTGTACTGGTTAGTTTGGACTAAACGTTTTAAAGAACAGTTATATTCAGTTTGGTTTACATACATATCACAGTTATATGTTTTCAAGGGTAATTTGCAAGGAATGAAACGCGGAAAACCTTCGAAACGAAAATAAATAACCCGAAAGGGAGAGAAGCTGCTCAGGAAACAAATTTCACCTTCAGCGGATTTTGGATATTCATGATTGGAACCGTTTGACGTGTCATACATGCACACGACGTGTGACCTAACTGATCCACGGTCAGAGGGTAGTTCTTTAACATCCAAACTAATCCAGAAACCTGGCAGGTAGAAAATGGGGTCACTTGAAACATCCAGTTTGATTCGCGAGGAGTGAAAGATGCCCTTTTAGTCCCCGTAGCCTACAGGTAGCCAACACACTTTTCCGCTGCATTTCATTATTACTGCCCATTATAATTTCAAAACGTCAAAAATCTATGAGATTTCAGTTTATATAAGTGTACAGTTATGTCAGTGGTTAATATTTCAACGAAATGTTACTCAAGTCACTGCAAATAATCTAATTGCTGTGATCTATGGAACGGGTGTACACACATTACACAGTTGATATTATTTCAGCGATTAAATATGTTTTTGGTTTGTAATAAAGCTATTTTTGTAAATGATAAAATGTGTCTGAGCATGATTAAAAGTAGAAACAGTCTGATTTGTGTTGAAACCTACCCATAAAGTTATCTTCGTTACGTTACTTCTCGTCATGATTTTCGATATTTGAGTTCATGGAAGTGATGTCAAATAATTACAGCAGAACAATTATTAATTACAATGTTGGTTTGTCAAATCTTTCTGGTTCGCAAATTACAAACTTGTATAACATACGTATACCAAACTAGAATATCATTTTGCGACTTATAGTTACTCTCAACCCCCGTTTTATGTTAAGACTCCGATATCTTGACCAGCTGAAATCGAAATTAACAGCTTTACTATTTTACTATGGATAGTTATGTTGACAAGATTGAAATGATGAGTTTGATTTTAAGTTCTAGCGACTTCCAGTTTTCCCAAGTGGGCTTATTCCCTTTGTTAGTCGCTATAGTTGGGATTGCGCTTTGCAGTGTAAAGCCAGCGATGCCATCTCTGACTATGTTCTGGGGTATGAGCGTGACGGGTTAAATAATTATGCAAATTCCACATAATCTTCATCACCCACTGGGTACAGTTAAACTGAATTACGCGAATGTTTAAACTGCATAACTGTAAACAAAGTGTAAAAGAAGATATATAATTGTGCGTTATTAGTAGCATTTAATTTGACACAAAACAAAATGTTGTAAATCATTATGTAAAGGGGTTTTAGTAATACAAACGCAGTAGTAAACTTATGGCAATTATTAGGCAAAATAGCCTAATATCATTGTTTTTCTAGAGAAAAGATATACCATTTGGTTCATGCCTATGGGGGATGGCCAAGCTGTTATAGGGTAAATAATTTTTCAAAATAGTGGTAAATTATAAAGTATAAAATATTTCTTTATGGAGTAACTCTGGCGTTTCGAGTGACCACTTGCTCACAAACAACAATTTGACTTAGTTGTCAATGGTCTGTTAAGGGTTTTGCAATGTGTTTTTTTAAATACCATATTAAGGTTGTTGCACGCTCAAAACCTATCTAAGTATGTAATATCAATAATGGACGAAATATGTTTGAAATGAAAGGTTGAACTTTTGTCACATCATTTAACTCGTGTTCCATGTTACGTCTTGATGATGGACTTTTCTCTATAATTCACACAGATTCGTTTTGTGACAACTTACAAACTCCGCAATCTCTAATCAACTTGAACTTCCCGACAAGAACATCAGTAGGAATCTCATTTAACAATTCGTCAAAGACACAAAAAGCGAAAGTTTAACTCCAGAAGGGTTGTTGGCGTTTCAACTTCTGCTGTCTTTGGAACAGCTGATACGGTTGACATTATCTCTGGACCGAACTTAGGAAATGTTATTTTTGCTAAACTTGTGACAATATTGCGCTATCAGCGACTCGCGGTGAATAAGCCGAAGGAAAGAATGGAAAGATAGCGTGACGTCTGCGGAAAGGAAATGAAGAAAACTCGCGTTGAAATATCAGAGTATTAGTAGCTCGCAACTTATCGAGAGATAGCGAGGTTTTATTCCGTTAAATACGTCGCCTTTCTTCGTTTTATACGGCGACTCGATGATTTTCTCGTTCGCAGTCATTAAATTCACCGCGTCTGAACACATTTTTGTATTCCATTTCCTTTCTGGATTTGCTATCTTGACAAGGGTGTAATCACGGGGGGGAGGGAGGGGAGGGAGTCGATCGGAACAACATATCTCTCCCTCTGTCTCTCTCACTTTATATACTTAATTAAATTGCACCGACCAATAACTGCGATATTTTCTCCGATTCTGTTTGCCTTTTGCTGATGTTTGAGGACTCTAACGCGCTCTCTGGGGAGAAGATGAAAAGATTCGATCGCTGATTATGATTCCTCACTAATGGGGAGGGAAACGTCTTATGTAGTATGATTCTGTCTAAGTGAGACTCGACATCTGTGTTCTTTAGATGTTAAGACTTGTCTGCTCCATTGACAAAGATGCTGATTTCAAATGGTTAGTTTAAGCATATTTACAAGGGTAATGTAAAAGTTATATTTAATTGTTAATTTATGTTCACTTCGTAAAGGATATTCGTACTGAATGAAATCGTACTTTTTATTGGTTAATTTTGTTTTATTGGTTTTTGATAGTATATTAGGATTATATATTGTAATTACACCCCAATATATTCTTCTTGTATGACCTATATAATCAGCCATTGAGCCATTTTCTTGGTTCGTGGACATTTAATCCCATTTACCATACGGAGGTCTTGCACTGACATAGTATTGAATAACTACTACAACCTTGGTAACTAATTACCTCCACAACCACTTAACAAAACAATCACTAAACACTCCGTAATCCAACAAAAATCAACCGACAAAATTTACTCCCAACAACAACTACGAAAAGTCGTCAACTCGTAATACATAAAATGTATAACATACACACAGTGACTTCCAATCTTCTAACCTGTATCTGATGCCTAAGAGGACTTCTGTCCTAGAACAGTCCCAGTTGGCTCATCATCTGCTGAAACTTTACGATCGGTTCTTGAACGGTGGGCATTAATTGCGCCAACTGACCTGACTCAGGTAATCGGGTATTCCTGAATTGCGCCAACTACTCCAAAGAGCCACCCGATAAGTTCACTGACGGGGTTGCAAGTGGCGGCCCTCTTTGACTGTATAATTGGTTAGGTTAGGTTAAGTTAGGTTAGGTTAGGTTAGGTTAGATTAGGATGACACGTAAACAAGGTTATTCCTTCTGCCGGCAAGGACTACTAGGCTTGACGCATTTTTTGGGACCCTTAGAGGGTTAGGTGTAATTAAGAAACTCTTTGGTGCAATTAATGCACGACCTTCTTGACAATCCAGCCAACCTTTTCTATAGTTTCTACATGACTCGTTGTTCCAGGCAAGTCGCTGCCTGTCCATTGCATAGTGGAGTCCGTGGCGTCCCTGCAGCAGTGGAAGTCCATCAGGAATACTCGCAGGACAGTCCTGGAGACGGACAGTTACGTCATCATCCCGGTCAACACCACATTCCAGGACCTGGTCCAGGTGGCGCTCCAGAGACTGGGGTATCCCAAGGAGAACGCTTCTGCGGCCAAAGGTTAGGAAAGTTCTAGCTTTTCTAGGAAATTTGTTGTTTAAGTCAAGTCTGTTTAGGTATTTCCCGTAAAGGAAGTGAACTAAAATGACTAGAGGTCAGGTTTCATGCGTCATATGTATGAGAAAACAGTATTATATTTTGGAAAAGTATAGGCTTCAATCTATGACTGGGATAGATTACTTGTTGAGAGTAAACACTTGTATTACAACAATAGAAAACTCACAGCACTGCAATATATAAAGTAAATACAAATGTGTCACTTCCAAATCAATTTTGCATCGTAGTTTGAAACTAAACAAATATACATGTTTGGAAATGTATTAGAGTCTTTTGTTATAGTTTTAAGGTCTATTGTTATGGTTTTGGGACTACTTTATCAACTTTATAACTTTGCAATACAATTTGTTGAAACTTTCTAACTTTTATTGCATGTACAGTTCAGAGGTTTAGTTGATTCCTGTAATGTATACAAGTTTTTTTTTGTGTAGCTTTTGTTATTTATTATATGTATAACATTATAACACAGTTAGCTCTCAATAATCTCATTTGATTGCCATCGAGATCCGTTCTTTCAAACCATTTATTTGTTCTGAAAAAGCCTAAACAAAATATAGAACCCTGTAGCCAATACAATTATGTATCATAAGTTGAGTCAAACAAGATCCGTTTAACGCTATTGCGATTGAATCACAGAAACATTTTGTTTGCAGGATCCGTAGTGATAAAGAACTGGAAACCCCTCAGTTTCGACAAGATCGCAGAGAGTCCTCTAGTCACAGTGGGAGATATACTGGGAGAACTGACCACAGTCGCCACTCTTCGGATACAAATCTTCAGGTACACCCTGTAGATCTGTTAGTAGCTTTGTACTGCATGATTTGACAGATTCTGACCATTCACTGACAACAGATTACTTGACGCGTTCGCAAGTTTCGGAATTTACTTTTTGAACTTTTGTCAAACGTCTAAAACCTAATAAAAAGCCATTGTTTTGATAAAATTGCATGCGTTTTTATTTTTCCTGGTAACTCAAACAAGAAATGTACATTCTAAATTAGCATTAAACTTCAGAATTTTTAAACGTGTTCTTGAATTTTTGTTTCGTTTCATGCAACAACCTCTATCACTGGTTGTAGATAGTTTCCACCATGTCTTGAAGCTAACTAATGAATGCAATAAACATATACAAGTTGTTTTGAAATATTTATGAGTGCACTGACAGCAATATACAAATTTCAGTTTTCCTTGGTAGTATTTGGCTACTAAAAACTTTGTAACAATAATTTATGACTGTGTGCTAATTATAATATTTCTTTGTATCCTTCATTTAAGATAGAAGATCATTTTCCAAAACTGCAAATAAATTAACTTTCTAACCTTATGTGCATTAAACCTGTTATATAATTTCATATTTTACACCCGTAAAAATTCTCTAATGCTATTGTTCGTTCTTTCTGATAAGCTAAGGGTATGTGACAGAATTTAAAAAGGGGAAGGCCAAAAGTAGAAAATCAGATTCAAGTTTAAGGACATTCAAAAGACAAAATCGAATAAATATTTGACTCATTGAAAACACTTCTTATTATTAAATAAATGTAGCGTTCTATCAAAACATTGTCTTAAATTCTGAGAAAATGTCTTACAGTATAAAATTTGTATTTACTCTAAGCAATAACTTATTCGATCTGAGAAATGTGTTATTTTCATTTCATTTTCATTTTTATTTTCCACAGCAATGCCATTTACAAAAACATGTTATATCTTAGAAACGACTTATTCCATCCCTCTAGCATCTCAATTAATCAAAATAATGACTCAAAAGTTATAAATAATGTTTTACTCTAACAAAAAGTCTGTTATCCATCCAATATCTTTATACGGTTCTGTTTAATGGTAAAGCCATATTGAGCAGTTTAGATATATTGACACCCTATAATCTATAGTCTGCATGACGCAATCTGTCCCCCGAACCTTCGTATGTCTGGGACTATCCCTCAGTAGACGGAAGATCAGGGGACAGGTCCCATCATACAGGCTACAGTTCATATCCTATACTGTAGGTTGTTTGTCTAGACAATAGACAGTACAGTGTATGCTATTGTAGGCCTCGGACCAGCGTGCTGACAGATATGAAGGATAAGCTGCTGAGACTGCTGCTGGTACAATCACACGCTCTGCTACTGTCCTCAGGATGTCCCTTGGATGAGGTGAATATTAACAGTTTTTGAATATTTACATTGTTGGTGATGGTTTGAACATTTATTTCCTTACGAAGATAGGGTGGGAGATTACTTTGTAACGTAGTAAAAATCTTTCACTATTATCCACGAATACTAGAAAAGACCCGGTATGGATCATAAACATAAACAAATGACGTTTTTGGCCCGAAAGTAAACATTATATTACATTGTTTAAATTGAACTGTCTAAACCATATGTTAATGCTATTAGTATAGGATTCGGGCCAAAAACGTCATTAGTATTCGTGCTACTGTATTAACGAAGGCAATTTCATACATGCTAAGGTTAAACGTTTGTTTATAAACAACGAGGATAATAACGGGAAAAGCATTAACAATAAAGTTATTGGATATTTTAGTGTTGTCGAAGTATAAGCCTTTAAATTGGGAGTAAAAATAATCAATGGTCCATGAATAAAATATACGAATGAATGTCAATAGTATTTAAAATTTTGATCTAATCAAACTTAACATTACTAACTTTTTAAACATAATAGGTACAAATAATAAACGATGTGGAATCCAGAATTAATAATTTTGGAAAAAACGTTTCAGTAAGGGAGGTAAGGCAATTCACAAAATACAATAAATGGTGTGATTCCAAGCTATAATTAATCAAAAATTTTGATCGCAGAATTTGTTTTAATTCCAGATCTAAAATTATATATAGGCCTAAAGAAATGAATTTATAACAAATTGTGTAAAAAAGTAGTTGTAAATAATACTGGAATAGTTTTTGCTTCTATGGCTGTTTATGGGTCCTAAACAAAACACGAATTCTCATAGCATAGAAGTAGGTTCTATGCTATGAAAATTCGTGTTTAAAATGATGATATAAAAAAATGAAAAATATACTAAGCAGTTTGGAAATTTTGCGTTCGTTTTTTTAACATTTTATATATTCTCCTCCATTAATACTCTAAATATAACTCTCAGGAGGAATACAAATTTAAATAATCAAAATATTAAAAATTTTGTGAAGGAAACAATAAAACATTTCCGTTTAAAATCCATAACGGTGTCAAAACAACGAGAACATTTTTACCATAACAAGAAAGTAATACAGCCAGACCTTATGCGCAACCACTATCACTATTTACAACCAATAGTCGATAAGGGTATTAGCAAACTTAAGAAATACTGTTTACAAAGAGATGGAAAATTTATTGGAACGCTCTGATTAAATCGCGTGAAAAATTTATTGGTTTACGAGTCTCTAGCTTCAAGGCTGCAAAGCGCGAACAAACAAAGGATCCGTTACATCATATATTCTCTTATTTACCTTCGAACTGAATCGGTTGTAATCACGAGCAAACAGAAGATTATTCTGCGCGTAGTAAATTACGAGTTGACGGAGCGCGTGCAGGTTTTGCAACCGAAGGTAAATCAGAGGACAGAAGCTGTGGTTTCGTGGCTGTGATAAGCAAACAAGGTGATAAGCCGGGTCTTATCTCAGTTCATCCTTCAAGACTCTTTATTTAAATAAGAGAGCCCCGTTGATGGATTAGGTTCATCAACAGTGACGAAAACAAAGCTCACGTCACTTTTGACACATTTTCATGACTCGTGTTATTTAGGTGTTTTAGGTGAATTTTTTGCTGCAGGAAGTTCATTTTTGGAATCATCGTAGTACGTAGACATGGTATTTATATGAAAACAATGCAACGGCATTTTCGTGTGTTGAAAATATATTTTCATTATTATTTCCCTCGTACGATATTTCTTATTTTGATTTTTTTTCAGCTGAGTTTGTGTTTTAGAAATATATTTTTTTTAAACAACAATTGATAACCATACTGAAAATAAAATAAATAATAAGAGTACAAATTTTCACTCTATTTATTAATCTATATTTGGATTCTATTGGATGTGTTTTGTGATAAACGGCATAAGAATTATATATTGAGTTAGATCAAAATGATTGAGGTCAATAAACTTGTTTATATTCAAACAATGGTAACGGACTGTTCATAATATTTGACATTTTAGCTCAATTTTAAAGCAATAATCTTCCGTTTAATATTTTTTGGATCCTATTCTAAGCTGTTTTTAGGAGAACAAATATTTGTACAATATTGTAAGAGTTGTGTAATTGTTTATTCAAGTTAAATTAAACCGGTATCAATTGAATTTAGTTTTTAACATACATCTAAGAAACTACGCCTATTGTGAGTGATAAATAATCGCAGTTTAATAAACATCCAACTGCTATTGTATAGGTTTAATTTTCTCACAAAGACCTAACCTCCTATTGAGCTTAAGGGAAAGGAAATCGTACAAAAATAATAACCTATGGTTTGCAACTATACAAAGACAAACATTTCAAAGTTTATCTACCATATTTTTGGGGTTTCTCAAACATAATTTACTATAAATTCATTTATTGTTTTTAGTCAAGAAAATTTAGCAACGGCTTTACTTTATAGTTTGTATTCTTCACCACATTGAGTGTAAAACCCAAAATTTTAACCTACAAGCCATATAAAGCGAACAAAGAATGACAAAGTGGAAAACAAACAAGCTAAGTGTCGTAAGAGTAGGATAAAACCTAGAGACTGTTTGTGCTTAACAGTAGCTGTGTTTGTCAAGAGTATAATCCTGCGAAGATACCTGTATCTCAGTTCACCTTGGCGTCTCTAAATTATTATAAAACTTTGCCGTTTTAATCAGCTGAGGAAACCCAACAAGGGGACTTAATAAGAGACTTAAAATCCAAGATGATTTATTTGAGGCATTCTCTACTGTTTGTTCCTCGCTTAATTGGCAACTTATAATCTTATGTGGTTCACATAAATACATGTAAGACGCGCCAGAGTTACTTACATCTACTTGATGTTTCAATAGAAGATCCGATGTTCCTTTGTTCCTTCAATTGTTTGGGAATAATGAGCAGATAAAAGTGATTCCCTGTCTGCGGCTTCGCTAAGAATCAAGAATCAAGCATCACTTGTCGAATTATAACGTGAGTTCTTACGCACAACCTCATTATAGCTATATTAATGCTCATGAGAGAATCATTAAGGGTTTCTTCCTCTAAGATCCCCCAAAACGCGTGTACATAATACTCTTTGAAAGTGCTCGAAATAAAAATGATAAAAATGACTTACTTCACAGAATGTATGAGATTGTATGTTTGTTAGCAGATCGCGCAATATTTTTAGACCTATTATCATAATCATCTGAAAATATTTTTATCCGAACAAATTGCATAAATACGACATCGGTCTTATCTCTTTTTTAAAGTCCATCGAGAGTTAAATCAACAGGCTCAACTATTTTTAACCATATCCACTCTTTATCGGAATAGTAGAAAGTTTTAACAAGGTCGCTATGTAATTTAAATTTGTGCTGTATGATCAATACTACTTTATATGGTTGAAAGTAGTTCCCTTTGCACAGTATTGAATTATATGAACTCTATTATTGTTTTGTTATGTTTTCTACTGCAAACAAATCCAACTTGGACACAACTAAATCGTGTTTACTCATGTGTGCAGATGACGTTGTCCCAGCTGGTACGCAACCAGTGTGGACCCCTCAACATGTTCGAGCCGCAGGAGGAGGTGCGTCGCAAGTTTGACCAGTGGTGGTCCATGCAGCTCAACCAGCAGCTCAGCCCCAGACCTAGGTTCCAGTGGCACTCACCCCCTCCCACTGATCCTGAGAGGAAGTACGAGAGGGGTGTGGAGGAAAGGGTGCATCCAGCTCTACAGGTAAACATACTATCAATATGTTTCTTCAAGACAAATTATTAGGTACCTAGAAAAAACATTTAATATAGGTTTCAGAGGATTTTTGACATAATTTCTCCATATTTTCAAATCAAATTATTGTATCCTCCAAATCAATTATAACCATGTTTGGATTTTTATCTAGGCCTAAATTTTATCCAGTTAGATGCCATGCAAAAATAGAACTGTTGGTTTTTTACGGCTTAGGACCTGGATTAGGTCACACCAAAACTAGTGCTAAAAATGTAAACTTCAATTACATGTGGATTTTAAAAATAAATCTCATGGGAATTTGTCCCCTTCTATACAATTAAATAGATTTTACTTCTACATAAAACCATTGTCCACAGTTAAAAAAAAAACAACTTTTGTTTTTTTATATTTGGGTAAATATTTCAACAGAGGAAACAAGAACTGTATATGCTTATTCACGGACATTACTTCTGATTTTCTTCTAGGCTACATTATATCACATATTTCTTTTTACCTACAAAAATAATTTTCAAACTTTCATAGAACTTAATTTTCAACAGTATTTACAATCATTTTTGTGGTTCCTCAAAACACCAATATTAATTGATTAACTACCACAGTTTATAATTTTTTATTTTATTTTTAAGTAATGAAATCTTAAAGTTATATCAAATATATTTGTTAATGTGCAGATAAATAACAAAATCAATTCCAAACACATTTTAATTTTTTTGATTGAACCAACCATATATAATTTGAAAAATAGTTTCCTAAACAAAGCAAATCCTCAGATAACTTCTAAACTCTGTTGAGCAAATTCCGTGGATCAACTAGTGAATCCATAACGGCAGAGTATTACGGAAATTTATGTACAAGCGGTTAAAGTGTATTAGACGATTTGCTCAGGGAGTTAAGGAGCGAGTCATTGGTGGGATAATATCCCGGCTCCCAGGTAAATCATGAGATCCCTGGGGATTTGTCAGTATTTCTCCCATCTGCACCTGTGTCCTGAGTAAACTTGGCATTAGCACTTCACCTTCCAAGCTCCGGCTGCTTGCTTAAGGAATATACTGCTTTGATTTTTAATATCCCCCCCCCCGCCCCCTACAGGAATTAGTAAAAAAGTTGATATTTGGGTTTCAGAGATGACAACTATATACAAGAATGTTAGAGATAGGTTTCAGAGATAGTAACTATAAAGTAACAACAATTAAGGTTACAATGTTAAGAGAGGAAATGCTATTATTCAGTATAAGCTTTAAGTAATTCAAATTGATCGTAGTTTTTCACCTTAAATAAACATCAATTATTTAAATTTAAAGCAAAATCTGTTTTAAAACAGATTAACATTAACTGTAGGTACCAGAAATATTAACTACCTACTGTTATAGTGAAATCAATGTTTAGACAATATGTCAGGGTGTGTTAAACTATAGTACAGTATGAACCAATTCTTTGAACTAGACAGTACATTTTCACTACGCATAACATAAAATTATATGAGTTTATAGCAAAAATTGCATTAAGGTTGATCTAGAGTTTTTTTCAATATGTGTTTCAAGGTTACTTTATTTAATAAAATAATCAAGTAGGATATTTTACAGCCAAAAGTGAGAAATTTCCAGCTAAAATACATCACCAACTTTTTTTGTCAACAGATTTTTCACCTGATTCTTTGAGCTAATTCCATAGTTACAATCAATTTTACACTTTTTTGCATTCAATATTTTGTGTAGGGGGTACCTATGTTCCGCCTCCATTTGTTTTATTTTTTATCAACATTTTGTAATGTTGTGATATCTTACAAACTTAAAGTATCATTTTCTATCTATAGGTATATTTAATAGGTACATAAAATGGGTATTTCCAAATAATCAGTTTGCATGTACGTCTAGTTTGAATGTTAATTAAAGTCGGTCTTCATTCATTACATTTTTCACATTCTTTACAATACTATATCACTCATCAAGATCATTGTTGGTTATGTATTAGGAGCCATATCTAATTAGTGTTGTTCTTTTACAGACTGTCCAAAACCAGTATCCCACACAAAAAACTCGAATGAGAACCAGTTTCGATCCAGAACTTGAACTTCCAAAATTGCAAAGATGGTTCTTGGAAAACCAACATCCTAGTCGCCAACAGGTAAATTTATTTTAGTCTTGGTATTTCAATTTTTTCAGATGAAAAATATCCAAATTTTTAGCAAACTTTCATGCTTCTACATTTTAAATGCTTAATGAAAGTTACTTTTAAAGTTATTGTGGTTCAAGTATACAGACCACTTGCTTCAGGTGAATAATTTATTAAAGAAACAACTAATATGTTTTTGGTTATAACATGATCAGGATTCCTGCTTTAACTGCAGAATAATTATCAATTTTTTAATCAATCCGCAGATATCACAATTTAACATTTTATGCTGCATGCAATACATTCTTGCATTTAGTCACAATTACATTTTTAAATATTCACAATTTTACACACTCTGTAAAAAAAATGGACTAAAATACAAATTTCACTGTTAATTGGACTGTATTGAATTTTAGAAAATTTTTACAGTAGTCACTGAGCTATGACTACTGTATTGTTTTACTAACAATGTTTTACCCCTTTTGCATAGTTAAAAAATGCAATGGAAAACAAATAATTAAGTGTAGTGTACAATATCAAACCAGAACTTTTGAGCTCAGGGTTAGTAGTAATTGAACTGTTCCCCTCATTCTATATATTCTTTCAAAAATAAAATTGACTACATGAAATTTTTTTTCTAAGAGTTTTTTGTATCTTAGTGTTAGTCTGTGAAAAATGTTTATCCTAATACTCATATCTAATTGTTTTGAAAACTACTTGCACATCACAATGTTGAGAAAATTAAACACTATCATGCATAATTAACATCTTACACTTTTGTCTTTGTGACGCAGATCCAGCAGTATGTTAAGGAACTGAACAACCTAGAGTCACGAAGAGGAAGAAAACCTCTGGATGTGAACAACGTTGTGTATTGGTTCAAAAACGCAAGAGCAGCCCAGAAGAGGGCGGAAGTGAGAAATATGACTCCAGGTAAAGCCATTTTAAGTATATTAAGGTTGTTCCTGATGAAATTCATTCAGAAACAAAATATAAAAGTTTTACAAATATTATCGATAGTAAAGCTTATTATTACTATCAATAAAAAGACTGCAACAACATTATAAGATTATCAGTTTAGAATAAACGTATTGAAAATTGGAAAATAGTTATCAGTCAAAGCTGGAAATTTTTTTTTAGATGGTTTAACCTTAATGAGTAACCTCTTCTGCGATGAGGGAAATGCACATGTAAATTTATCAACCAGAATGAATGGGCTTGACCCCAACTTCTCAATCAGTACAGATCTTTTGTAATCAGTTTCTTTGGTGAATTGTAAGAACAATCAGCTTATATATTTTTGGGGTTACAAAATTTATCACAATATGAGTAACCATCCAGTGAAGTTGTCCATATTTTCTCATAAGATGTAGGACAAGTGCATTTTACAAGTTAAAAAATTCCATTTTGTTGAGGAGTGTAACAACATTTCAGTATTTTCATCCTCTAGAATGACTAGTATTTTTTGTGTGTGCAAATTGACAAAGTAAATGTGAAAATTGAGTGGTTTCAATTCTCAGGTATTCTCCCCATTTATTTTTCTCCACCCCTGCAGATAAATGAGGTTTCAATTTGATTTTTAGCTCTATTGCATTATTACTATTCACCACGGGTTTGACAGTAAAGTACTGTGACATGGGTGAGCTAGTAGTACCGGTACCTTCAGAGACAAATGCAGTGTAACTTGCAGTTTTGAGACAGCAATGTCTGGCTAATCATCCTGTGATTTTATGCGTAATTTATACAGAAAATCTAGTACTAATTGTGGTAGTAATGCTTCTTCACTGCTCCAAATTCTCTAACTCTTTTGGTCTATCAGGTATGCACTGTCACCTGTCATTAAACGGATACAACAGCAGCAGTCAGAGTCCTAGCTCTCCTGTGTACATGATGAAGTCTCCCGTAAGTGTCCATGAGGATGAGGATGACGAGGACCAGGATAGATCCTCACCCATAGGACCTCTGTCACTGACCACCACCTCCCGGAACAGTCCCTCCCCCTCACCACGACTGCAGCGACCTGCATCAACTGACCAGGTGAGTTGGGGTAACAGCTGTTAGTTGTGTGGAAGAAATAAGAAAGGAATGAGGAATATCGTGTAAAGCCAGAGGGGATGAGGATAGATTGAAGGAACGAGAAAAAATTCTCTTTCCTCCTTAATAAAAACAAAATACTCAACCTTAAAAACTGGTTTGTTAATATATACCCTTGTCCCTTGTATAGGCTATATGTTTTTTTTTTATTAATTTCAATCTCAGTCTTTGGAATACTCTTGGATGAACTGGAAACATTTTCTGTAAACTTCTAACAATAGGCTTCTAGTTTTCAATGATTTAATACATGAGTTACACAGAGACGGTGGATGAGCAGTTTGATTCATCATAGGTAATATTTAGCACAGAACCGTGAAAAAATTGAAAATCTTTTAAACAATATAAGCTGGTCTAGAAAAATAAGTTTATCTAATTATATGTATAAATTACAGGTAGAAGGAGTTAAACAAGAACCCCCAGACCAGGAATTACAGTCTTCCCGACAGTCTCCAAACAACCACCTAAACAACAATAACAACAACAACAACAAGGACTTGAACAACGAAATGTCAAATGAAGACGATGATGAAATGGAAGATGTCGGATCTGAAGGAGAGGATGGAAGCAAGGCGGGAGAAAACCAAAGTCCCGATGAAGAAAACAGGATTCAAGCCTTCAGAAACCCAGGTTCTCCGGACCTATCGCTGATCCCGAGGACATCCACTGCTGGCTTCCCCATGATGCCTCACTCCACTCCGCCTCCGTGGTTCAGCCACAGCATCATGTACATGAGCCACTACATGCCCAACCTCAACTCCGGTCACAACCCCGCACAAAGTTCTCCACAAGGATTGAATCTCTCCGCTTTGGCTGACGAGAGAAGGAAACGTAACAGGACCTTCATTGATCCTGTGAGTGAAGTCCCCAGGTTGGAGCAGTGGTTCGCGATGAACACTCACCCGTCCCACAACCTCATCCTCAAGTATACCGATGATCTGAACAGAATGCCGTACCGGCAAAAGTTTCCGAGGTTGGAACCAAAGAATGTTCAATTTTGGTTTAAAAACCGACGAGCAAAGTGTAAAAGACTGAAAATGTCACTGTTTGACAGTCCCGAGAGTGGACTAGCTTCGCAGCAGTCTTACAACCATCTACACTTGGCGGCCGCTCTGTCTGGGGAAAACTACCCTCCCAGAGACTGAGCTCTCAGCCAAGAGAATGTGATACCTTTGACTACGAGTAGACATTCCATTCTCATGGTAAAGGTGTAGCTAGAATGATAGGATATAGTTGAATCGGGCCACTGCAGATTGCCGATATAAATTACTGGTTTCTGTCAAATACGGAACCTTTTAACGCAACCAAAATGAAAGGAAAACTCATTTTAAGCTATCTTCTTTAACATCACATAAACAACCTCAGTAAGAAAAACTATAGACTGTGTTACAATGCCGTTACACAAGCTGTTCGTTTAACTATGTTCTATTTAAACAAAAAATTAGCTACTACTGATCCATATAAATGGCATGTCTACTTCAGTTTCCAAGAGTCAATGGTAATTTTGGTAATACCTCACAGTATTATGGACTAAATACATTCCGTCTATGTAATAATATGTATCAAACATTATTTTGAAAAACTTGTGATATTCGTACTTACCGACTGTGTTAAATGTTGGTATAAGCTGGTTGTTGGACTACAATGAAATACTGTTATTAATTTATTCTAAATAAACATTCCAACTAATTTGTAAGAAAATTATTGATTTTTCAAAGTGTTATAGATTTTTTGTGTAATGACGAAGATCTATAGTATTTCTAACTACATACACATTTTGTTTGTTGAGCTTTTATTGCTGTGTTTTTAATTTTATTTACTCAATTATTTTAAAAAGTCTTTGATTCTATTAGTTATTCCACCTCCATATATATGTGTGGTTTAAATAACACCACTTTCTTACAATATATTTTTTTTCCAAAAGAAACTATTAAACAAATTATATATTTTTTCTGTTAACGTAAATCTTACAAGCACAAACTTTACCAGCTTTGTAACATTTCCCAAACCGAAGGTTTACTGTTTAATGATCTCGTAAGCCAAATATTAATGCTTGCCAGTATATTCGTAGTTTGTACAAAGGAAACCTACTTACATGGAGACAATACGTTTTTGTGCTGTGTCCTTTAATGTACACGTTTATGGATGATATTGTGAGATTGCTTCATTATGAATTATATGTTTTGTTTTTGATTTTTTAGTACCTTAGTTTTATGCTTTTGTTTGTGTTTTGTTTTTCTACTTGAGTTAGCTTGTGTTAAACTTTGAACTAGGCGCTTAAAAGATTTTATCAGAACTTTGCAAACATGTACTGTAATTAATTACTGTGTTCAAATTAAAACCAAAGATGATGTCTACGCTTGTTGAGAGTGATATCACTTAGTGTACAAAGTGTAATTTACGAGTCAATGTCAATTATGTATCTTTGTTATGTTTAGTATCGCAGAACACCTTACGGTGCTGATTGTTTTATCGATGATTGTTTTATATGCAAGAATTAGATGAATTATTGTACCATACCTGAATGTTAATGTATCTACACGATTGATGGTTACATGTTGTACATATACAGTAAAGTTATTTGGAGTTAATTGTGTTATGCTCTTTCACCCTTACCATAAATCAATTTAGAATTATTCATTGAGGAAAAATCATAGCTTCGTAGGTCTGTCTCTTTTTATTTAGGTTTTCAAGTGCTAATACAATTTTAAAACTATAACTAAATTTAAAACGCACCATCCACCCAACTTGACTTAAGGCACTCCTTGTCTCTGCTTCAGGTCTATTCAACTGACTTAAGAAAATGAAATCAACAATTTGAGATGGTAAAAGTAACAGGACCTTGATCTTATAAAATGTTAATAACTGAAAATCACATTAAATTTTTTTAAACTACTCGTAATACCAAAATAAATTAATAAGGGTTGTCAAAATTTAGGATCCGAATCTAATATCAAAATGATCAATAGGGTGCTTACTACAGTGAATATTGAATAGGGTGTTTTTAATGTATAAAGTAGAATCATTTACTATATAGTCAATGGTAGAATTATCCAATAAGAACTTGTAACAAAATACAATGGTAATACCTATTGGTCAAAAGAACTACATTGGAATTTTTTGTAAATCATTTTTTGATTAATATACAAATTTTATTATGAAATATATAAGGTTAAGTTTATGTTTAGTAATGTAATCTTTTCCTTGACAAAACGAATTTAAAATTATATTATTCCCACAACAAATATGAAGAGTAAAAAAGATTATGACAAATATTTTCTTAAACTTATTAGATCCATTCCATATTTAAAGAACATTAGGTTTAACAGCTTTGCATGTAATCTTTAAATTGACCAAATTTTATAAAAATCTGATGGTTCACATTGAGAAATCACTTTGAGTGAGCAAATATATGAATTTGAATAGTGCTTTCGGCCCCTGCCGCCTACAAAATAGGAAATAGCTTTTTGCATATAGGGGAAATTGTATAGTGACTGTTTTATGAGTTTTACCAGAAAAAGAACTCTTAAGATGATATTTTGCACTCAAGCACTTATGTAGGCCTATCTTGGACGACAATTATTATTTCGTAAAATTACTGTAGATTTATATACTGTATATGAAGATATTTTATTTGCATTTATGTATCAGTTCCAATGATTTGGAGAAGGTTAAAGTCATATTTCTTATCTCTCAAAGTTAAGTATTTAAATTAGTGTTTCTATAATAGAATAAGCAGCTCTGTAAGGAAACTAGAAGGAAGTTGAATTGCATCATCTCCTGACCAGTGTATATTGCTCAGAGATGTGCAATGTACACAACTTCTACAACATCTTATCACTCATGCCTATCCAACCATGCTGCTTCCTCACACATTGCAACATAGCCTTCCACCATCTCCTGGTCAATGGTAGTCCTATAGCTAAGGCACATTTCAGAAACTTTCGAATGAAAACACTTTTCAAATACTAGGTAAACTCTCCAAAAGACAATAATTTTACAAAGGGATGTTATTTTATTCACAGTACAAAATATACATTATTTACAATCAGTTAATATAGATTAAAACACAATATTGATCATTACATACAACTAGATTATTTGGATTGAGCAATGAAATAATTTGATATAATTTCAAATTGATCTTCTACAAGTATTCAAACTTCAAATGTTAGTATTAATAAATATTTTTGTGAGTAACCAGTAGATCAACTAGATATTTTTTTCATAAATTAGAAAAAGCTAGCATAATTATAGGAATGATCGTATGAAGGATGAGCTGCATGATGAGGCACATAGTACCTCAGCGGCTCATGCTCATGCTCATGATGAGATTGGGACTTAGCATGAGCTACAGCTTCCATATGTGCAGTCTTGGCAGCAGCCACTTCATGAGTGTCCGCCAAATGTCCGTTGGGTAGTACAACTGGAATACCATAGCCGTGGTGTGAGCTGCTGTATCCATAAGCACCTCCGTACCCGTAATCTCCATGGCCGGCATAGTATTTTTCAGCCTTAGCATTGGCAACTGCCAAGAGATGAGCAGATTTGGCAGCAGCGACTTCTTTGGTGTCTGCAATGTGACCGTTTGGTAGGACCACAGGGATACCATATCCGTGGTGAGATCCGCTGTATCCGTAACTTCCTCCATAACCGTATTCTTGATGGCCGCTGTAGTACTTGTCGGCTTTAGCTTGAGCGACGGCAGCAAGATGATGGGATTTGGCAACTGCCACTTCTGGAGTGTCAGCGAGATGACCGTTGTGCAGGACTATAGGAATGGCAGTGGGGCCATGGTATTTCTGAACGTGTTCCTCTGCAAAATGATGAACAGGGAGTTCTTGATGATGGCTTGGGAGTTCTTGGTTGTGAACTAGGTATTCTTGATGATATACTGGGTATTCTTGACGGTGAACTGGGTACTCCTGGTGATGAACTGGGTATTCCTGATGATGAACTGGGTATTCCTGATGACCAGAGTATTCCTGATGATGAGTTGGATACTGATGATGACCGTGGGCTGCCACAGCTGCCAGATGAGCACTCTTCGCTGCTGCTACTTCATGGGTGTCTGCTAGGAAACCGTTATGTTGTACCACAGGGACAGCGTGATGATGAGGCTGAGATCCATGGTGTAGAGGTAGAGGATGGAAGAGTGAAAACTCTGGAGCACATACAGCTTGCTGAACAAGCACTGCAGCGACAGTCAAGAAAAATGTCTGGAAGTAAAAAAAAAAACATTAGAAAACTTCTATGGTTGAAGTTTATTAAACCCACTGTTTTGTTATTTTGAATTATTTCAAAATTTTATCAATTGTTTATTAAAAATTTGTGGATGTATGCAGTTTGAACTAGGCGTGTATTTTAACAATGCTACAGAATATTTAGTTTAACAATATCCTGATATCTTTGAAGATATTGTTAACACATTATATTTTAACAAGACATCTTCAGAATATTTCCTACGAAAATATGTGTGTTATTTACGTATTTATATGTATAAGTGACCTTAGTTTTACCAAACCAAATTCTCCTCCCCTGATTTGGACTTTGATATTAAAATGTATTTCTTGATCGGCTTAGTTTAGTTCACTGACTAATTTAATTGGTACGTTGAAAAGTATGTATTAGTACAATTATTATTTTTACTTATTTTCCCCTAACAAATTATAGCAAAAAAATGGAGTAATCGCTAAGGGATATTTTAAAGAAGAAGACGTTTGGTTATATTCAAACTGATTTTGAAAACCAAACAAATTCTTTCATACAAAATCCAAACAAAAACATAAGGTTTCGATCAAAAATAAGTTTTTTCGCACAGGAAATATGTTTTGAAATGGAAACAAATTGTTAATCATACATATACACAAAAATAATAGTCATCACAGATTAAAAACTTAAATAGAGTATATTTGGTCTTGAATAAGCTTAACTGTGTTTACTACTACAGTAATAAGTACAATTGTAACAATACATATCCGTATTGTATTTACGATACAAACCAATGTTTTTAGTATTTTTTATTGCTTCACAAATATTATTATTAGTGGTGATGTTTTTATATAACATTATTTGGCAGACATACTTTGAAATATACCAATTCATAAAACTGAATTTATTATCATCACAATGCTCAAGAATTGTACAGGTTTATGATACCAGAGTAAACATTTTCTGTGCAA